GCTTGCAAAACGACGGCCCTTTAAGGTTCTCTTTATTTTTGGGAATAAGAAAAAGTCAGACAGAGGCATGTCTGGCGAATATGGAGGCTGGGGCATCATTACAGTATTGTTTTTGGCCAAAAATTTTGTTCAAAATTTAACAATTTTGGAACAAATTTTGCTGCCACGCGTTTTATACCCAAAACATTTGAAAAAATTTCATGGGATATCGATATACCAACATCATCAGCGACTTCTCTGATGGTTTATAACCATTTCTTCCACTTTTTTCATGTTCTTATCGGTTGTTAATGTGCTTGTGCGTTCGGGGCGTTCGTCATCTTCAACGTCTTCACGGCCATCTTGGAAACTCTTATACTACTTGTAAACTCTTGTTTTACTTATAGCAGACATACATAGGCCTTTGTTAACATTTCACAGAATTTATTTCATTTTTTAAGCAAAATTGGATACAAATTCTCTTTGATCCATTTCTTTTAACGAACGAAAATCGCCGAGCTCATAAAACACGTCTAACCTTAGCGGCTGCCACAGACAAAGTAAACAATAAAAACAGTTAAAGTTTTTATCATACTTTCGGGGGCATATATACCAACATAATAAATAAAATTGTATGACAAGCGGACCCTCCAAAGCCGCGAAATTTAACAAATCCCGTTATTTTCTGAACATACCTCGTATCATTCGTGATTATCCATGTAGTTAATCAATGATAAAATTGCTTCAAGCGGTTTAAAATATAATTACAAATATACATAATTATTTAATTAAGGATATATGTTTTGTATAATTAAATTAAAACTATTTTAATGTTTAAATTATTATAACATTAAAATTGTTTGACAAAAAAAATTTAAAAAATCTTGGGTTAAAATTTTTAGGGCTTATAATTTATTAATATTTAATAATAGAACCACCCATATTTGGAAACACCAGTCGACTAGTCGTTTCTTACATTTTCAGGAAATGTATTTAATTAATTGTTATCTTTCTATTGTTTAATTTGTAACCAGTGCTGATGTTTTTTGTTTTTTATAATAACATGAAGTTTGCACTGCTAGTAATCGAAGTAAATGTAAATATACCGGGTGAGTTTTTTAGACTGATAGGTGATATTTAGAAAACGTAAATTTTTGTGAACTAATAGACAGAACACATTTAAAAATATTTTTGACATCTACCCTTTTTTTTATTTTGAGGGGCATGGAATAACTTTGAAAGATATAGATTTATTAATAACAAAGCTATTTTGCTTATTTAAAATATTTAAATATTTAAACTACTTAACTAAAATATTATGACTTAATGTTCTCGTTTGTTTAATACAACAAAAAACATTAACATTTCCTAAAGTTTTTGTTTTTTGACATTTTTCGAATAGGAGTGTACTTGGCTTAGCAATTCTTTGACAGTTTGAAACGTCATAAATCCTAAATGATAGAGAGATACCCGCTTCAGGTTTGCAAATGATTTAACTTTTATATGTATAAAAGTTTACGTTCTATCGTGACTACGTTGCGTGAGCTTATGCCAATTTTCGATCAAAGCAAAGGTCCTCGGACTTTTTTCTTTGGGGTTACATTAAATCGCTGGGCTATGCCAACAAGCCAGCAACGTTAGAAGAGCTCCGTGACATTTTGTTGCAAATATGGCGAATGCGCCGGGATCAATTAATTAATTCATTAAATAATTAGTTATTAACTTATTAACTAAAACGCGACCCTCGCATAGCTATAAACCATCCGCCTGACAAACACGTATATTCACATTATTTAAATTAAACGGCAAAGGCTAATATCGCAAATACCACGATATTATAATATAATTATAATTCGGTCAATTCATAAAACAAGATACACTAATGACGCTTTTTGTATTGGTAAAATATATTTGTTTTTATATTAACACATTAAATTACAAAGGGTGGCTATAAAAAACAAACAGAGGAGTTTTAAGGAGTAAGCAGTGATTTTTAAAATATTTTTGATTCTCTTTTTCAAATAAAAAATGGTAGAACTTGCGGTGTGCCTGAACGATGTTTAAGTCACATAAAAATTCCGCCAGTTTCTTGTTCGGGACCGTTTGGTGACCAAAAATGATATATACCAAAATCCTAGCTGCTCCTCTTTTCGAAATTTTTTGAAAATTCATGATTTTATTTTAAAATTTTTGTTTATTTCAAAGTCTACCTTTGACAGAGTACAAATTTGTACACCGATTTTTATAAAATTAAAGTAAATTATTGAGGAGACTTAAAGAATACTGTTTAATACTGTTTTGATATATACAGATCGAGCTAAAAATCGCTTATTTTTAATAAAGCAAAAGCGTAAATTCATGATTTTGGCATAACACGCAAAAAATATTTATCCCCATTTTTTTTTAGAACGAAAAACTGGTTAAAGTTTTTGATCGGCACTTTTTGGAGATTTAAAAACGATATTTACCATAATTCTAACTGCTTTTTTTAAACTTGTTAAAAAAACATTTTTTTTTAATTATATGTTCATCGCAAAGTCTACCTTTGCCAGAGTACATTTGTACACCGATTTTTATTGATTGCAGTTTCTTGTTCGGGATCCTTTGGTAACTTTAAAATTATATTTACCAAAATCTTAGCTGCTCCTCTTTTCGAAATTTTTTGAAAATTCTTAATTTTTTTAAAATTTTTGTTTATCTTACCTTTGACATTTAATTTTTGCATTATACTTTTTACTATATAAAAAAGTGATTTTTGGCTAACCCTGTATAAATCTAATGATGTGCTCATTATGAAAACAGTATTCTCCAAATCTCCTTAACAATATACTCCAATATTATAAAAATCTGTGTACAAATGTGTACTTTGTCAAAGTTAAATTTAAAAAAAAACAAAAATTTAAAAAAAAATCATGAATTTTCAAAAAATTTCGAAAAGAAGAGGAGCTAGGATTTTGGTAAATATCATTTTTATGTCACCAAAGGGTCCATGGCGGCATTTTTATGTGACTTAAACTTCGTTCAGGCACACCGTGTATATGCTACTAAATGACATAAGACTATATAGCGCCTCTACACTGAAAAAAATAAGCTTTGAAACAACAACAAAAATATTAATTCAACTCTTTATGCATTTTAAATACAAGTAATGGTTTTTGCACGTTTACTTAATCATCTAAAAATGTCAAATTGAATTGTTTAATTGAACAACAAATATTAGTCAAATGAACAAAATGAGAATATTGGTTCTTAAACATTCTTGATATGTCGGAGTAATATTTAGAAAATGGTTGTGCTAACATTTTTAACATGTTGAGGTAAATTTCTTGAAATGTCCAGGTAACCTTTTTAGCATATTCACTTAACACCAATAAAATGTTAAATTAAAATAATTTGCGCTAATATTCGGTTAATTAAATTATGGAATTAATATTCTGATTCGACCTATATTGGGGGTCTTATCAGTCGCTGATAATTATCAGTGTCGGGCAATTTGGTGTAGTGGAAGTTCCACTGTGGAACACACCGAAAACAAACGGCTACCTGAGCTTATATACTCCTATCGTAAGCCAACTGAGGCGAGATGTAAGAAAATCACCGTCTACACCGAAAAAAATATATTCGTTGAGTTAACATTTGCCTAAATGTCATTTTTGAAAATGTTGTTTCAACAAAAAACCTATTGGATTAATCTATATTTTGGTGTCAAAGCAATAGTCAGAGTTTGTCAAAGTTTATTTGTTCATTTGACAATTTAAAATATTGATCTTACATGAACTAATTGTTTGAATTAAAGTTTTTATCCTATTTTGATTTAATAGCTGGAATTGGTTAAATCAAATACTAAAATTGTTGGGATTACCTAAAAAAAACTATTAGATTAACGTTTAGTTGCTGTTTAATCCACAACATTAAATTTGTTCATTTAACAAATTGTAAATGTTATTTTAAAATTTAAAATGTTAAATTTGCATTCATAAAGTTGCCTTAACACTCTAAGAATGTTAAATTAACAAAATTAGCAGATTGGAACAAATATCCTAATTTTGTTCATTTGACTGTTATTTGTTGTTCAATTAAACAATACAATTTGACATTTTTAGATGGTTAAGTAAACGTGCAAAAACCATTGCTTGTATTTAAAGTGCATAAAGAGTTGAATTAATATTTTTTTTGTTGTTTCAACAGCTTATTTTTTTCAGTGTAATGACGTGGCGTGGGTGTTCGAAGCGCCCTTCACGGCAATTTTATGAATGCAAAATTAACAAATTTTAAAGTAACATTTACAATTTGTTAAATAAACAAATTTAATGTTTTGGATTTAAAGAGCAACTAAACGTTAATTTAATAGTTTTTTTTGGGTTATCCTAAAAATTTTATTATTTGATTCAACCAATTCCAGCTATTAAATCCAAATAGGATAAACATTTTAATTCAAAAAATTAGTTTATGTTAAATCAATATTTTAACTTTCAAATGAACAAATAAACTTTGACAAACTCTGACTATTGCTTTGAAATATAGATTAATCCAATAGGTTTTTTTGATAAAACAACATTTTTAAAAATGTCATTTATGCAAACGTTAACTCAACTACATTATTTTTTTCGGTGTAATGGAGCTACAGCCTTTTAAAGGGGAGCCTCTGAAGATGGTTTTTAATATTATTTCCGAAACAGTTTGTATGCTTACTTAACTTTTTGCATGATTTAGAGCACAGATTGTGATTTAGAGTTAATAACACAATTTAAAAATGTTATTTATGAGTATATTAAACAGGGGCGGCCTAGGGTAATTTAGCCCCAAATTTTTTGTGTGCAATTTGCAGTAGGCTGCAAAATATATATAATTTAGGGTTTTCAACGTAAAAAGGTACTATTATTAAACATCGGTAAAATGCCACATATTCGAATAAAAATAAAAAAAAATTCTTGTTTTATTTCCTAAAAATACAATAACTATATAACAAAATATTACTTTTTAATGTTAAAATTCATACTTTAATAAACTACTATTTTTAGGGCATTTGTTGTTGGGTTATTGGGATTAATATTAATTGCTTCATTTTATGATTTTATAAATAAACTAAGAAGCAAAGATGATTCTACATACACATGTAAGTATAAGGTATATAATTGACATTTTAACATAAAAATAAAATGACATAAAATATCCAAATTTGTTATAGCACAGTTTCTTAAGAATAACTTATTTAATTTTGTTTATTGTTGGATGCCAGCCTTAAAATATAGTTTTAGAGTACAATGAATAAATAAAATTAAAAAAAAAATATTTTTTAGACAGATATCAAAAACTCCTCTTATGTTTCTCATTTCCGAGAAATCTACGAAAACTGGTTACAATTAAAAATGACGACAAAGATGGGCTTAGCTGTATCGGTGGATTAAAAGCAATTACTATGGCATTAATAATTCTTGGACATGGACTTATGTTTATTATCAGCTCTCCCATGCAAAATCCCATATTTGTGGAAAATGTATATGGCAATTTAAAGTAGTGCAAAAATATAAAATATAAATTTTAATTAATTTTAGATGTATTCAAGAATGACGACAGTAGTTTTGTTAAATGGCCCAGTGGTTGTTGATACATTTTTTCTTATTTCTGGATTTTTAACTTCATATTTAATGCTTCTTAAACTGCATAAAAGAAACAGAGGAATCAACATATTTTTGCTCTACATTCATAGAATATTAAGGTAAAATATCAATAAACCTAACGTGATATGAGAACATCTCCCTAATTACCAAAACATTAATAAATTATGCTAAAAGAATCTACATAGGTTTTCCGATTGAGTTAAATTACGACAACATTTTTATCTTTGGTTTGTGAGCGTCTCCGAAAACAGCCAAAAAGTGTGCTAGTCGGCAAGCTTCCTAACTTATCAACTTATATAAACAGATTTCGGTCGTTACTAAGATTTTCTCATGCCCCATAATATAAGTTAAAATATTATATTTTATTTTTTTACCAACTTCTTAATTATAGGTTAACACCTTCTTATGCTTTTATAATAGCATTCTATTGCACAGTGTTTTCAAAACTTGGTTCAGGATTATTCTGGCATAAAAAAATCGTTGTCGAACAGGAAAGATGTCAAGCCAGCTGGTGGGCTAACCTTTTATACATAAACAACTACATTAAAAAAGATGAAATCGTAAGTGTTTTAATATTTTATGATATTTTACCAGGTTAATGGTTATCGACATCGATATCGATGAAAGTATATGCAACGTAAAAAAATGTTTTATTATATATATTTTCTATAGAGTTTTATTTTACAATACATAATTATAATTATTAAAATAAAATATTATTCAAAGATTTTATTATACAGGTTGTTTCACATGGACCACCATTAGAAGTTTCTGGGGAACAAAAAAGTTATCGATTTGAAATGTTAAAAGCGTTTATACTCCATTAATATCTATTATTCCACTTTTGGTTTAATCTAAAGTAAAATCTTTGTTATTTAAAATAAAATACACCATATGTTTTTACATTTTTAAATTCTACATAAAATTTTGTATGTATAAAATGCGTTTAAATTTGTATTTATTTTTAGTGCATGTTTCAATCATGGTATTTATCCTGTGAAATACATCTGTTTATGGTATCAGTTCTATTGGTACTATTTTTATGGAAAAAACCCAGAAAAGCTATTATTACCATTAGCACAACTCTAATCGTATCAATTACAGCAGTATTTTTAACAGTCTACATTTATGACGAAGAAGCTATTTTACTATTATACGTACATTTCCTTAAGGATCCAGTTTTAAACAGCACTTACAAAAGTGTTTATATACCGAGTCATCTTCGGTTGACGCCGTATCTAATCGGTATATTGGTAGGGTATCTTCGTTATAAGATTAAAAAACACAACTATAAAATGTCACGACTCGTGTGCACTACCGGATGGTTTATTTGCATGGTTGTCATGTTAACCACAATGTACTCTGGATACGTATTTTATAATCAGGAAATACCAAAAAGTATTATTTTTAATGCTGTTTACTCGTCGATGTACCATTTGACTTGGGGTGCATCTATATCTTGGATAATTATTGCAGTTTCATGTGGATATGGAGGTAATTCATTTTTGTAATACGAGTTGTGTTCAGAAAATATCGGGAATTTTCGTTTTTTGAAACAAATATTTATTTATTCATCTACATTAATGTTGCCGCCTTCAAAATAGTCCCCATTGAATATTATGCACATGTGCCAGCTCTTCTTCCAATACTCGAAACACTTCTAAAACTCGATCTTTGGGATAGTTCTTTCAGCGATGCGCTTTTAATGTCATCTATGCTTGCAAAACGACGGCCTTTTAAGGTTCTCTTTATTTATAGGAATAGGAAAAAGTCAGACAGAGGTATGTCTGGCGAATATGAAGGCTGAGGCACCATTACAGTATTGTTTTTGGCCAAAAATCTTGTTCAAAATTTAACAATTTTAGAACAAATTTTGCAGCGTTTCATACCCAAAACATTCGAAAAAATTTTATAGGATGAGCCAATCGATATACCAACATCATCATGTTTTTATCGGTTGTTAATGTGCTTGTGCGTTCGGGGCGTTCGTCATCTTCAACGTCTTCACGGACATCTTGGAAACTCTTATACCACGTGTAAACTCTTAATTTACTTATAGCAGACTCACTATAGGCCTTTGTTAACATTTCACAGAATTTATTTCATTTTTTAAGCAAAATTGGATAAAAATTCTTTGATCCATTTCTTTTAACGAACGAAAAATCGCCGAGCTCATAAAACACGTTTAACCTTAGCGGCTGCCACCAACAAAGTAAACAATGAAAACAGCTAATAGTATATACTGTAACAAGTTTGGAATACAGCATATTCCGCTCGAGTGAAAAGTTTGTCACACGAGCCGAAGGCGAGTGTGACGGTTTCACGAGAGCGGAATATGCAATTCCAAACGTGTTTCAGACTATACTTTTTCTACGCTTATAAAAAATACCAGAGAAATAATTTAATTGGAAAAAAGTTAGGTTATCTTTTGACAGATGTTAGATTTTATGATGGTAGTAAATAAGATAATTTTTAAATAAGCTTATAAAAATTACTTACATAATTTTGCAGAACCTAAATTAGGAAGTATAAAGAAGAAATGGACAAATTGTAAGGAATGACAAATAAGTTATTATTTGAATTTCAAATTTTGAATTAACTAATGACAGATGTAAACAATTAACCAGTGCTGCCATCTCTTTGGGACTAAGTCAAACCTAAATATTCTAATAGAATCCTACTAAATCGGCCAAACAGAATTACAACTAGCTTGTAAAGAAGATATATTTTGGGTATTTTTATTAACGCAAACTGTTTAAAATCCTATTGTATACTACCGATTAATATTTTCTACCGGGCCTTTCTGAAAAAACTAGATTTGGTAGGAATACAAGTGAGTTATAAAATAAACATAGAGATGTCGCCCCCAGTGCTCATTCCATCATTAGAACATGTGCGGAATAATTATTCTGTAACACTTTATGGAATATACGTAATTCCAGATTAAAAAGTCATATAAGAACTGTCAAATTCCGTAATAAGCGTAGAAAAAGTTTTTATCATACTTCGGGGGCATGTATACCAACATAATAAAGAAAATTTTATGACAACTGGACCCTCTGACCCGCGAAATTTAACAATTCCTGTTATTTTCTGAACACACCTCGTATATCCAACAATATATATAATGTTAAGATTGGATGACGCTACTAGAATTTGCCCAAACCAATAAATATTTAATTATGTATAGTTATAATGTGTTATCCATTTTATATAAAAACAATCACAAAATATGTGAATAAAATCTAGACATCACAAATCATAGAAAAAAATTATTTAGATATCTATGTATTAACTATGACGGTTGTGTCATTTTAAACTCCCTTGTTTTGTCACCTTTGTGGCTGTAAGTTTTATTCCAAAATATTTAGTGTCAAAAGTTTGGTAACCTATCAAATCTTGAAAGCGTTTCTACACACGAGCAAAAACCTAACCTAATAAATTTATTATTATTTTAGCCTATATAAATTCTATTTTATCATGGACTCCTTGTATTATTTTAAGTAGATTGACGTATTCAACATTCTTGGTTCATGGAATTGTTCAAATGTTCTTTGTAGCCTCCCTGAGGAGTCCCCAGCATATGGGATATCTGCTGACTGTATGTACTTTTTTGAAATATTATGTTTATAAAATATTTCATATTTTTATTTTTAGTTCTTTAACATTGGTGGACAAATATTTTTTTCCTTTTTATTTGGTTGGATTTTAACTATGTTAGTTGAAGCACCAATTTTGGGAATGGAAAAAATAATTTTTTCAAAGGCACAAGCCAAATATACCGAATCTACAGAAAATCTGGAAGAAAAAGTGGAAAATGGACGCGCAAATGAAAAAGGTAGTGTGAATGGAATAAATGGAAATCTTCATATTTCAACTCATATTTAAAAACGAAAAAATTGTAAAGGTAAAAGACTGATTAGGTTATTAAATTTATAATGCAAATATACATAGAATATAATACATTAGGAAATTGATAAAATTAAGTCAATATTGAAATTTTGTCTACATTGTATATATGTAAAATTATTTATGCCTGTAAAAATATGTTTAAAAGCTTTATTAGATATATTTATTCATTGCACATAATATTATTATAAATAAACTTTATAAAATATATTGGTTATTTTATTAAAAAAAAAGAATCCAAACTTTTCGGTACCTAATATTCAAATTTAGATTTTAACCAATAAAATGCGAAAATAGTAAATGATTTTGCATTCGACATTTAAAATTTTTACTTTATTAACTGGAGGAAATAGGTTTTTGTCGCTATGCAGTGTAATAACCTTTTAACATTACATTTTTTTAAATATTTAAAATATTTTTATAAAATTTATAAAATTCCATTTAATTTATGTAAAAACCTAAAATATAATTGTTATACTGGTAAAATGGCTTTGTAATAGTATATTAAAGAACTAATGCCATAAGACGTCATTTTGTAAACAAATTTTTTAATGTACGAGTGCGACAAAAGGTCTTATGACATGCTATTTTATCTATTTTGCAAAAATTCTATAAAAAAAATAATTTTACACCTTATATTCAATTTGGTCAAATTTTACTTTAGATAGTTGGTATCACAGTCATTGGTTTAAAGAGTTGTCAAAATCGATACGCCATGGCGTCCTTAATTTACTTGTTTACAATAAGCGGCAGTTAATGTTAAAGAAGAAAGAAGGATTTTCTTTGGTGTTAAACTAAATATATTGCCAGAGAAGTCCCGTAAGTACTAGAAAAATCATAAAAATAATATAATATTAATATGAAAAATATTATTTTATAAGTGTTAAACAAAATTTATTTCCGGAAAAGTCTCGTAAGTACTATGCAAATCATAAAAATATTATAATATTATTATATTATGCATTACAGCACCGAAAGCGGTGTTACAATGAGGTCATTATAAACGCAAAATAGATAAAATAACTTTATAAGGCTTTAAATTGTTGAAATATTTTGAATGAATCATTTGCTAAAGAGATGCATTTTAAAAATGATTATGATTATATCGATGGTGTTAATGCAATTCTACATATTTATTTTTTAAAGCACAGATTTCAAATTTGATTACTATTTTTACTACAGGTGGATATACCCAAGTAACATTTTTAGTGGATAAAACTTGTCAGGTACGTTACAATAACGTTCTTGGATTGAATACAGACAAGTTTATACAACGTTGTGATTACGTTACTACAACGTGGAGGCCAAAACTTAACTTTACTACTCTTTACTTTTTATCCACGTCTCTTTCCAGCATATTAGTTTTCTTATTATTTTTTTTCCTGAAACTTAACTGATTACGTAACTTATTATAATGTACATACAACTTGCAAATAATAACCAGAATTAAAATAATTCAAATAAATAAAATTAACACGAACAAAAATTGGTGTCATAGCACGCCCCGTTAAAATATGTGGTAATCTAAATAGTTATTTGTTTTACAAGTGTTGAAAAGCGACTTGTTCATGCTAGTGTTTAAGTTGTTCAGGAGGCCGTTACGAGCTTAAAGAAAGCTTTTCTTACAAGTGAAACACAATGTTTTTTCTACGTCCCTTTTATTTTTTATTTTTTCAAATACAAAACAAAATAACCTAAAAACGTGTTTGAAAGCTGTTAAAATTACTTTCATCTTATTCTTTTAATTTTTAAATAATAATAAATAAACGTTTATTTAGCTAAAGCTATTATAGTTTCTTACATATATAAATACATTACATATACACGTTTTGCTTAATATATGTCAATAGTAATCTCTTAAAGTTATTATAATTATCACAATTTTTAGTTTCTGTTGGTAAACTATTAAACATAATAAGGCCATTTTTAAAAACATTGTTCATACATTTAGCAGTTCTAGAAGTTTCTATATAAAAATCATTTGTATTTCTAGTTTGATATGCATGTATGGAATTAACATATTGTAACTTGTCACATAGATATTTTGGCACTTTTCCGTGTTTTATTTTATATATATAGTCCATAGTCCTAAAATATATTCTCTGTTTAACACTTAATAGATTTAACACTTCTAACATAGTTTTAACAGGTGTATATTTATTACATTTTAAAATTAACCTCATACATTTATTTTGTAAAACCTGAAATTTTTGGATTTGATTTTGGGGCAACCTATATAAAACTGTAGAACAGTAATCAAAATGGGGTGAAATTAATGTCTTATATAACAACATATGATTTTGAAAATTTAAAAACCTATTCATTCAAAATACAAAATACAGTTTTTTTGATATCTTATTTCTAATATAATTAGCATGATCATAAAAATTTAGTTGTTCATCAATTATTATTCCTAAATATTTAATTTTATTTACTCTATCCAAAACATCACTGTCAATTTTAAGGGTTACATCACTAACCTTAGTTAAGTTATATTTACTACCTAAAAACATATATTTACATTTACTTTTATTTACACATAGATTGTTATCACAGAGCCATTTAAAAATACTATCAAGATCACAATTTAGTTTATCACACATTTCCATAATATTTGTACCATATATATAAATCATT